TCCACAGGAAAAAATATTAAATTTAAGGAAATCTTATTCCACAAGGAAAATGTATTAAAATTTAAGGAAATAATTCAATTTTAATTGGAAAAAAAATAGTTAGGGGAGGTAAGATTCAAACTTGGGTCCCTGAAACCAATCATGACACTGTTAACCATCATGCTACTGAACATTTATGTTGAAGTTACGCATGTTGAGTAGGTTCGTGACGGCTATTACCAACTCCACTACACATTACTTTGTTATTTTAGGGTGTCCAAATTCTATATATTATAAAGTCAAAATTTTACATGTATATATAATATTATTTTTCGACGAAGGGTGTCCCTTGAGCCTACGTGGCTCCACCCCTGCTTGTGGGCCCGTTGAGGCGGAACTAGAATTTTGACTTTTTGAGTGATCCCATTGAGGCGAAATTAGGATTTTGACTTTTTGAGTGGCCCCGTTGAGGCGGAACTAGGATTTCGACTTTTTGAGTGGCCCCGTTGAGGTGGAACTAGGATTTTGACTTTTTGAGCGGCCCCATTGAGGCGTAACTAGAATTTCTACTTTTTGAGTGGCCCCGTTGAGGTGGAACTAGGATTTTGACTTTTTGAGCGGCCCCATTGAGGCGTAACTAGAATTTCTACTTTTTGAGTGGCCCCGTTGAGGTGGAACTAGGATTTCGACTTTTTGAGTGACCCAATTGAGGCGGAACTAGGATTTCTACTTTTTGAGTGGCCCCGTTGAGGTGGAACTAGGATTTTGACTTTTTGAGCGGCCCCATTGAGGCGTAACTAGAATTTCTACTTTTTGAGTGGCCCCGTTGAGGTGGAACTAGGATTTTGACTTTTTGAGCGGCCCCATTGAGGCGTAACTAGAATTTCTACTTTTTGAGTGGCCCCGTTGAGGTGGAACTAGGATTTTGACTTTTTGAGCGGCCCCATTGAGGCGTAACTAGAATTTCTACTTTTTGAGTGGCCCCGTTGAGGTGGAACTAGGATTTTGACTTTTTGAGCGGCCCCATTGAGGCGTAACTAGAATTTCTACTTTTTGAGTGGCCCCGTTGAGGTGGAACTAGGATTTCGACTTTTTGAGTGACCCAATTGAGGCGGAACTAGGATTTCTACTTTTTGAGTGGCCCCGTTGAGGTGGAACTAGGATTTCAACTTTTTGAGTGGCCCCCTTAAGGCGGAACTAGGATTTCGACTTTTTGAGTTTTGAATTTAATGATAATGGATGTTAAGTGATAGTAGTTGCGTTTTAAAGTTAATATTTGTATATATTTGATGAATTTGTTAAAAATATAAATATGATGTTTGTGCAAAATTTACTGAGTTTGGCAGAACTAGCATTCTGTCGGTGGGAGGTCCTTGTTTCTGTTATCATATTATTGTGGTTGTCGTCGTTCTTTTCTTCTTTGTATTTGGAGTTCATCAGAAATAACTTTTTTTTTCTTACAAAGTAGGAGTAAAGTTATATATACACTATTCTCTTCATACTTCAACATTACATTATTTATTGTTAGTTTGATATTTAATACTTGACTAATATAAATTTACATGTAAGCGTAATTTATTTCTAAAGACTAACCATCCTAATAAAAAAAAAAATTAGGCTTGAAATCTCACCCATCATACTACAACTAATGGATGATATTCTACTATTCAACTTTAAGTAAATTAGTTTTCATATAACAAATTCTCTATAAAAATAAAGTAAACAAATCAAATTGTCATCGACTCACTTGAACAGATCTCTCACAACACAATTCCAATAATATAATCATTACCATATCAAAGCCAAAAACTCTCTTATAAAATTAAACAAAAAAATAATAATTATAAATACATTTCATTTTACTCTAGATTGATCCATGAAAAATCTTATTAAAATATTTTCAATTTTTTTTCCCGATATATTATAGGTAGCTATAATAAAGAACCAATAATTTTATTAGGTACTAAAAATTATAAAATAACAAATAAAACAAAAAATTGAATAAGTTAAATTTTGACTCACGTTTTAGTCAATTTTGACCCAAGTAATTTTTGAACAAGTCAATTATTAAATCAAATCATCTTAACTCGCCCAATATCTGCCTATTTACTACCTCTCGTTGGAAATTGGGATCACTCTAGAAGTCTCAATTTTGAGTCCACGAGAGTAGAGAAAATTTCTATTGGGAATCCCGATTACCACCTCCAGAAATATAAAAAAATTTAATCGAACTCTAACATGGATATCGGATACAAATGGGTTCTACTTAGGGATATAAAAGAAGAATTGTCCCACACCGGACAGGTAATAAAAATAACCGAGATTCACCCTCTATAAAAGGACCCCTCTTGTCCAAATTTAAATTATTTTTTACCGCTTTATTTCCTTTTTTCTTTCTTCTGCAACTGAAGAACAACAACAATGGCGGATCACTCTTCTGCAATAATCCCTACTCTCCAGAACATTGCGGCGACGTTATCTCTAAACTGCGGTAAATTAGACCTCAAAGCCATTGCACTTAAAGCTCGAAACGCAGAGTATAATCCGAAACGTTTACCTGCAGTGATCATGAGAATTAGAGAACCAAAAACTACAGCATTGATCTTTGCTACTGGGAAAATTGTTTGTACAGGAGCCAAAAGTGAACACGATTCGAAGTTAGCAGCGCGAAAATACGCTAGAATTGTACAAAAGCTTGGTTATCCTGGGGTCAAGTTTAAGGATTTCAAAATCCAGAATATTGTTGCTTCTTGTGATGTTAGATTTCCTATTCGACTTGAAGGACTTGCCATTGCTCACAGTGGTTTCTCGAGTTATGAACCAGAAATATTTCCTGGATTGGTGTATCGTATGAAGAAACCGAAAATCGTGCTGCTGGTTTTTGCTTCTGGGAAAATTGTTATCACTGGAGCCAAGGTTAGAGATGACACATATGCTGCATTTGACAACATATACCCTGTTCTTACTCAGTTCAGAAAGAAGAGTCGGCAATGAGTTGATAGTAACGAATTAACATATTGAATTGAAATTTTTGATACCATAGTTTTGTATTATGGTATTTGATATGCATTTTAAATTGACTGCAAATAACCAGAAAAGAGCTAGTATTTGTTACAAGTTAATAACGTTTATACTCGAACCTAAACAATCACAGCAAATTACATACATTCAACCATTGTATTACAAAAACATTTCAAAAGTGACCTCCTAAGAAGCAAATGCCATAACCACACAGATTCAGAGAATGTCTGAAAAAAGAAGAAGAAAAACGACGTAATAAAAGTAAATGGAATTAGATAAAAACCCGCCTGCATCCAGGATCAATCCGCAACAACTCTACTTCGACTTAGGCCTGTAAATGGAGGATGTTAGGAAAAAAAGAGGAAATTCAATTGTGTACTTAGAAAATTTGTGACAGGAACTTTTATCAGTACCTTATTGGCAATGTTGTTAGAAAGCCAATCAAGCCCCTCGTAGAGTCCCTCGCCAGAAGTTGCACAAGCGCTCTGGATGTACCTGAATATAGCAAAGGGGAAACATTTCAGAACGTCTTTAACAGAAAGGGATGTTGTCACATGTTTTGGCAGAGCGTTTACCAGTGACGCTGCCTGAGGGAGTGGAGTCCAAGCTTATCGGTTATTTCAGCAGCATTCATTGCATTAGGAAGATCTTGTTTGTTAGCAAAAACAAGCAGCACAGCATCCCGAAGCTCATCCTGAGACATATAGGAACAACAAAGGTTAAACTCAATTCAAAGTATCATCTAGTTTTTTATGCACTTTCTGGTTTGATGAATAACGGATGGTAGATATCTGAAAATAAGATAAAAGGGGGTGTAAGCAGCAAAGAGAACTTGGACTGTGGTTTCCACACGCATTTCTCCTATATCCTACCTCCCCATACCTAGTTTTCCTGTGTTCTTATCAAGCAACAATGAACTCATACACGCACAATGTGGAGTAAAAAGTTGTGCAAAGTATTATAAAGCTTCTGTTTTGCCTCTTTGTTTATAGGACGAGGTAGAAGGAATAAGTTATCTTTTCCACACCCATTTATTCTCAAAATCTCTAGATACATCACTAACAACTTAACTGCCAATCTGAAGTTCTCACATTCTCCAATAAAGGATGAAGGTTGTTGAACTTTGTCTCAGTTACGTGATACATTCCACCAATGGTAACTTTTAGCATGTGCATCTTTCGACTTAATAACCAAAAGTTTATGATCCAGTCTAATATGACACAAACTCTAACCAAAAATACGAAGCAGACACAACTATCTGTACCTACAATGAAGCTCACATCAAAATTGAAAATTCTTAATCTATATTTTACCAGGAACCTTTGAAGATTATTTTTCTTAGTTATCTTAATGCTAAAACGGTCTCATCACCAACTCAGGAGTTTTAGTTCAAGAGGATGTGTGGCAGTAGATCATAAGCAGTAGCCACTTCCCTGCTCAAAGAAGATGACACGCAAATGCTTGAGAAGCAGTTGCAGAGTGGTTTCAAGGTCATTAAAAATATCAGCCTTTAAGTAACTAAGTAGTACATAATGAACGCAGAATAACAGCCACCTAAATGATGTGTTGCATACATAGAACTGATCTATTTAAACTTATAGACTAGAGAGGCTATTCTCATATACCATTTAGTATGAATAGTTCACTTGTAAGGGAAGCATTTTAAGTGAAGTATGCAGAATCAATCACATAATTCCATACCATTTAGCTCTTGAGTTGTAGAAGTCAAATTTGACGCCAGCAAGAATAACACAAATTACAAAGAGGACGAGGGTTATTACCTCATTCAACATCCTGTGCAATTCATCTCTTGCCTCCACTACACGGTCTCTGTCATTGCTATCAACCACAAAAATGAGACCCTGAGTGTTCTGGAAATAGTGCCTCCACAATGGACGGATCTGCCAAAGCAAACATAAATAAGCTGGGTACTTTAAATACTATTCCATGCAACATAAGTAGAGAGGGAAGTTGAGGCAAGACTAATTTTGTCTAACAGAGACCATAACTTCATCCAGATAAGTCTTTGGATTAAAAATTTAAAACAAGGAGTATACCTTGTCCTGACCCCCGACATCCCAAACGGTGAAGCTGATGTTCTTGTATTCAACAGTTTCCACATTGAAACCTGAAAATTATCAATTATTATTGATGGCTCATCTTAGCAGCTATGTTATCAACATCTTATTAAACTAACAACAGGTAGACAATACAAGATAAAATCTTCAGCAACACAAGGCTTTTGCTAATCAGAGCAGAGAAAATAAATCATTAATCAGAATTAATACTTCCCTTTTTATTTAGTGCATTTTAAAGGAAAGTTCTGAGAACTATAAACAACACACACTACTAAACAACTAAAGACAATCACATCGACTAAATATTGGTTTCACTCTTACCTGTGCAAAGGCAGGGGGGAAGATTTGTGTTATTTCACCAGAAAATGTAGTCTTAGTCAATATTCTTAAAAATGATATTCACGAGTGATCCAAAAGGAATTAGCTGTCTGAAACACAGATATTTCTACAAGACCGATAATCTAAGCTTCTTTTTAGGAGCCTTTACATTTGCATATTTTACAATCATAAAGAGATCATCACACAAGCAGTCATCAAGAATCAAGATCACATATTTAGAAGTTCAAAATAATTATTTTGATTATAGACCACATGCCCCTGATTAGACATTGCTTTCCCTGGATCAACAGAAAGAACTGAGACAGATGAAGGATGACTAAGTCATAACAAACTAATCAATTGCAGCAAACAGTAAAAGTAGAGGGACAGTTATAGTACTAGTTCTATGCACATTTTCTGTCTCCTTATCAAAATGATAGGTTAGTCTTTCTTTGGGGCAACTTAGTAGCTCAGTTGGTTAGGTACCTAAACTTTCACATTGTTGGTGACTGGTGAGGGTTCGATTCCCCACCTTGTAATCCCCTCCCCACTTTTCCATTTCCCCTATCCCCATTTTTTTTTTTTCTTTTTTAAGAAGCAATAGGTTCGTCTTTTGAGTCATAATTGCAACAGAACTAGTCATACTTATACAACTTAAAACTGTAGAAATGTTATTGCCAGGCATTTTGCTGCATGTCAGTAAAGTACATACCAATAGTTGGAATGGTGGTGACAATTTCTCCCAGCTTGAGCTTGTACAATATGGTGGTCTTACCAGCTGCATCGAGTCCAACCATGAGGATGCGCATTTCCTTCTTGGCAAATAGCCGGCTGAAAAGCTTGGTGAATGTCAGCCCCATTTCTCTTTCTTCTTAATGATCCCTGCATACATTACAACATTTAATTACACAAATCAAAAACCATAGTTCACCATCTAAGATCAAATGATACAACAGTACCAAAGATGCATCAAAATGAACAGACAATCCGACATCTCTTAGAAGATGGAGAATAAAATTAACGAAATAGAACAGCCCAGTACAAAAACACATCCCACATTCCCCGAGGGTATGAAAAGAGTCTGTCTACCCTGACGCATGCATCACCAGTTTTACTCTTTTTTTTTGATAACCATGGTGTCCAGACCACCTTGCGTGCACTTGACTGATTCCACGAAATGCCTACCACTCCCACCGGCAACAATTACCAGATATGAGATAATTCTATCCACCAAGGCTAGGAAAAAGGGAAAAAATCATCTAGCGTTTTTCTTTCTTCTTGGATTTGAACTTGATCACTACGTCACACCTTGGATGTGCATGCATAGCTAATTCTAGGACTCAAACCCTATGATCTACTGGTCATATAGGTCATACAGAGACAACTTTACCTAATTCCGATTCCATTGCTCATTTTGGACATAAAATAAACAAAACAAAACAAAAATTTAACCAATATAGTAAAGTATTGATTACTCTGCCTAACAAAACTTAAGATCTAGATCAATAATTCACGAATCAAATCATCAAATTAGTACAATTTCTCAGAGCACAAAGCAAGTTTCATGTATCAATCTTCAGATCACATCATAACAACATAAATTCACAGAAAAAATTGAATCAAAAGCTAAGAAAACGTAAATCTGAGATTGATAAATCGAACAAATTGAAGATTTTACCTGAAGAACAGTTTGGGAAAGAGGGATCTAGTGAGAGAAAGCACGAGAGGACAGATAGAGAGAGAGAGAGCTTGAGAATAACGCGAAATATGGTGGAAGGAGAGGCGATAAATAAGTAAAGGATACCAAACTGCAATTTAGTTCAATTGGAATGACGGAAATGCCCCCACGATTTGATGTTGGTGTCCGTCCAACATTCTTCATCGAAAAATTATATTGTAGTATAGGAAAAAAAGACAAATATACCCTGAGTTATAGTAAATGGTATGCAGATACCCTCCGTCATACTTTTGGGATATTGATGCCCCTGCCATCTAAAAATTAGAGCATATATGCCCTTCACTCTAACGGAAGATTAAATAGGGACACGTGATACAATCTTATCCATCGATTCGATATTTAATAAATGTTGGGTCGGTGGATAAGATTATGACACGTGTATGTCTGTTAGTATAAAAGGTATATATGTTCTAGTTTTTGGAAGGCAGGAGCACCAATGTCCCAAAAGTATGACGGAGGGTATATGTATACCATTTACGATGGTTAGAGGTATATTTGTCCTTTATATATAAAAGTTAAAATTACTGTCACGCCCTGAGCCTACACCCTGGGCGGGACCGGCACTTGAAGACCATTTCTGGCCCCAAGCGAACCCTTGGCCTGATTTTCTTAACTCAGCGGAAACCTACTCAACAGAATAACTCAATGCTATGCAAAGACATAAACAACTTAGATGATACATATCTGGCCAAAAAGGCGACTCGAGTCTCAAAATAGAATATTTACATATATACATAGCTAAGAGACTCAATTCTAACTGACTGACTATCTATGAAGCCTCTAACATACTGAGATAGATGTTGGGACAGTCCCCGCAACATCCTAACAAAATAAAACTAGAAACACAAAATAACCGAGTCCT